CATCACTGCCCCCGCCCCCCCCCCAGCCTAGCTTACAGGAAAGGGGAAAAAAGTATAGAGGGTGGCCAGCTTCATTTTTAAAGGACAGGACAAGGAATTAGGGACATTGTACGGGCTGGAAATGTCATAGGACCACTTGTAGCTGCTAGGAAGGCTAGGAAATGCAATGTTTAGCTGGGGAGCCCTGTAGCCTGCTGAAGCTCAGGTGTAGAGAGTGGACTACTAGCAGTCTGGGCCTTAGAGGAGGACTTCATATTTGATTGCCCCAAAGCAATTCCCCCAAGCAGAACTGGCTTTTTACATAGCTTGCTAAAATTCTGAATGAGTTAGTACCATTTTTAGGTCTTTATTCAGGTTTTCCTGCTTATTTTATAAGTATAGCTAGGAACTACCCTAACAATTTAGTAGGTAAGTCAGAATTTTTAGTCTATTTGCTTTTTGTTAAAGTTTGTTTTAATTATACACATTGTTGTGATTCATTCTGCTGTGCAGTAGAAGCTAACACAACACTGTGAAGCAACTATACTCCAATAAAACCTAATTTTAAAAAATAATCAAAATTAAAAAAAAAAATTTTTTCTGAATCTGTTTGAATTTATAACATGGATACCTGAATTCTTTTTCTTCAAACAAGGTTGATTTTTATTTCTCGTCAACAAAAATCAAGAGTTAAAAATACATGAAAGGGCTTCCCTGGTGGCGCAGTGGTTGAGAGTCCGCCTGCCGATGCAGGGGACGCGGGTTCGTGCCCCGGTCTGGGAAGGTCCCACGTGCCGCGGAGCGGCTGGGCCCGTGAGCCGTGGCCGCTGAGCCTGTGCGTCTGGAGCCTGTGCGTCTGGAGCCTGTGCTCTGCGACGGGAGAGGCCACAACAGTGAGAGGCCCACGTACCGCAAAAAAACAAACAAATAAGAAAAACATGAAAGTCTTGCCACTGTCTTGTGTTTGCAAAGGCAATTGAATTCAATTTTAGCTTTCATCATAATTAATTAGTATTAAAACTTTTAGTTCAAATAGAAAGCTTTTCTTCACCACAGGTGGTTTTACTCATATGACGTCATTAAAATTAAACTAGATTAGGGAGGGCTGATATTACAAAGTAGAAGTATGATGTGATCAAGCTAAGAAGGAAAGTGACCTGTTTTTTACATGAAGGCAAGGCCATGCTCTCGGAAAGTTTTGTGGACTCTGTGAAAGAACTGGAATATTTATTACCTTTATAAGATGAAAAGTTGTTACATGTTTTTAACCAGCATGGTCATTTCTTTCTGTAGTGCCTCCCAGAATCTTGATGTATAATATTACCTATTAATTTAGGACATTCGGTATGATGGTTGTTCAAAGAAGGTTTTTTTTTTCTGCATTTCTCATGTACCAAGGAACCCTAGTTATGTCATCTTCTGTGAGAATCTTGTGGCCTGTCTTGAGGACAGTTGCATAAAGGAGTGGCTAGTGTAATAATATATTCTTAGAGAAGTGACTTAAAATCATGTCCATGTTATCAAAACCCTAAACTTCTCTTTCTTTTTAATTTTAAATTAGGCCACAGTGTCTTGTTATGACAGGTGCTCCAAACTCACGCCCAGCTTTACTTCATCTTGTTCATGACTTCACAAAAAATGTTGGTTTGATGATCTGTGGTCATGTACATGTGGTAAGTACTAGTTTTGTTTTCTATATTAAAACATTTTTCACTCTGTGTATGTAATTTGTGAAGCTTTCTAGATTTGAAATAATTTGAGTAGGTCTTAGCAAACTATATTGCTTTGGCTAAGAAAAATTACTTCCTGATAACTAAGGAACCTAAATGGAATTCAGTATGTGTTTTTTCTTGCTGATAAATCTCATAAAGTCCTGAGAATACTGGGAACATATACTTATCAGAAAAAAAAAGAGGCTGGAGGAGGTGGACAAATCATGGTAGATATCTAGTATCTGATATGTAAGAAGAGTAGAGTGAATGCTGAATTTCCAAATTCAAACACTTTAATTGCTCATTCATTTTAGTTTTATTCATGAGTAAGGAAATTATTAAAAATAGGGGTAAATGGTCATCCAAAAGTAGTTTTTTGTTTTTGGCATCTTGGCTATTGAAAACAATTACTAGATGATGGATCACCTTTTCTGCATAAGAAATTGGAGTATTTGCCAGATTAACTTATCTCCCAGGCTCTACTGTTCATTTTATTTTGGTGCTAGAAATGCGTGTTATATGCCCTACGTCCCAGCCCCTGCTAGAGTTGATCTTCTACTTGTATAGTAGCAAAGTGAGTGTGCATGCACGTGTGTGTGAGTGTGCATGTGCGTGTGTGTGTGTAGGGTAGTGGAAGAACACACTGAGACACTGACTCCACTCAGGACCTGTGGAGTTTCACAGTTTATCTTAGATCAATTCAGGTTGGGGCCTTGGGCATAAGAAATTACAAAGGGGAAATTCTTCTACTAGGAAAGATAAATTGTACTTTTCCTTGTCTTATTCATGTATAATTAGGGTGTACTTTTAATCTTATTTTTAGATTTTTTAAAAATACATTTTAGGTAAAACATGTAACACATTTTATGTGTTGCTTACAAGGATCAAAATAGAATGGCAAGTTAAAAAAGCTCACTTCCTTTCTTGTGTCATTTCATCGTTTAACAAGTACAAAGAAAAAATGTATTTATATAGCTCACTTTGACTTGTAATGATACTTCTAGGTTTCTGAGAATTAACAACTCAGACATTTGAGACAAACAAAAAAAGACGGGAAACTTTCCATAGAAAAACAGAAGGCTCTTATTTTTCTCTGTGTAATCTCTTCTCCATTTTCAATAATTTATAATTTCTTTCATTTACTAGTATCAAAACATTTATTTTTCAAAGTCTGTGTTTCTTCCTCTCCTCTTCTTCCTTCTACTGGCACCTTCTGTGTCTTTGTTCCATCAACACTGTTTTTTCATAATCTTTATTGGAAAGAATTCACTGACATGAAAATGAAACGCTATCATTATACTTCCCTTCTCCCCCCACCGCCATGTTTAGACACCTTGTTTAAACCAAGATAACAGGAGGATTTTTATAAAAGGGGAATAGATTACCTTTCAGTTAAAGAAATTATTAATATTTTTACCTTAAAGGGTCCTCGAAGACAAGCTATGAAAGAGATGTCCATTGATCAAGCCAAATATCAGCGATGGCTTATTAAAAACAAAACGAAGGCTTTTTATGCTCCAGTACATGCAGATGATTTGAGAGAGGGTGCACAATATTTGATGCAGGTAAATTTGTTACATCTTTCAAATGACAGTATTTTAGTTTTGTGTAAGCTTTCAAAAACTTGTTTATTCCAGGTTTCATTATTCACATTAATACAAATCATAAATCTTTAAAATATCTTTACTGAAGTAGAATACTATAATTTGTATAATTTGAGAGTTACAGAAATACTGTGCTGTTGGCTGACAGTGAAGAACCTCTTTGTGAATTATCTTAGCCTATTTCTGTCCTTTTCCTAAGATAGTTCCCACTCACTCCCTGTTGTGTTAAGTAATGACAGTCCTTATTTAATTTTTTAAAAATTCTAATTCCCTACTATATTTCTATTATTTTACTGGTGCTAAACTTAGACTTCTCTTTCGGTTTTGTGTGTGTCCTAGTAACCAGAATGTGGGATTTGGAATCAGTCCTAGGTTTAAATGCTAGCACTGCTACTTCCTTATAATGGATTTCTGACCAATCAAGTTATTTAACTTCTCAGAAACTCAGTTTCTTCAACCCTTAAAGGTTGTGGGGAGACAGTGTTTGCCAACTTATTTTTATAGGAACCTCTTTATTCAAAAGAAAGCTTAAGCAAAAGCCCATTGACTGTGTCAATTGTGGAGCTGCTTTGTTAGAGGTGGGGGACTCAGTGCTGTCACTGGGCCCTTTCTGTTTTGTGTTTTTTTAAAACTTGACAAGCACATGGTTAAGAATAGCCTAGGCTATCCTGAGGAATAGTAAGGGGTGGGAGTGGGATTGCTTTGCCAGATATAAAGCCTTATTATCATAAAACTATAGTGATTAAGACATTGTGGTATTGAAGTAGAGACAGACAATTCAACTGAGTAGAAATAGATCCACTCATATAGGAAATTTAATACATGACAGAGGTGACACTGAAAAGATGAGCTGGGATAATTGATTATTTATGTGAAAAATATATATAACACATCCTTATAAAGACCAAACAACAAAACATTTCCAGATAGATTAAAGACCTAAACATGAAAGGCAAAATTTGTAAGCTTTTAGAAGAAAATAGAGAATAATTTTATGATCTTGGACTAGGGAAGAAGTTTTTAAATGAGACCCAAAAAGTTGAATTATGAAGAAGAAAGCAATTATTTTTTAGTTAACATTTATAAAACTGTGCTTCTAAAGAAAGCATGAAAACAAAAAATGAAGCCACAGACCTAAAGAAGATAATGTTACCAGCAAAAGAATATGGTCCACAATATATAAAGAAATACTAAATCTATAAGAGAAAAAAAGAATAGCAAAAGACACGCAAAGAAGAGGAAACCTAAATGACAGAAGTAAAAATTAAAACCACAGTACAGCTTTATTCCATACCCGTCAGATTGATCAGAATCAGGTCTGCCAATACCAAGTGTTAGAAATGGTGTAGAGCACTTGGAAATCTTTGCACTGCTGTAGTAAATGTAGACTGGACAGTCACTTGGGACAGCAACCTGGCAGTATTCTGCGTCTTTGAAAAGTGTGGGTATCCTTAGACATTCCATTCTTAAGTGTATACCACAGAGAAATTTTACACATGTGAAGAAGGCTATGTGAAGTTTCATAGCACTATCATTTCTTACAGTGAAAAGGAAATTAAAGTAACTTCAACAGCCATTAATCACATTATTGAAAATTGTGGCATAATCATGCAGTGGAATTCCATATAGTGGTGAAAAGGTACTATACATATCAATGAGGATAAACCTCAGACAGAAATGTTAAGGAAAATAGCAAGTTAAAATAAGAACATGAGTAATATGAAGATAATGTAAATTTTTAGAAATATGTAACTTAAAAATTCATACGTATATATGCCTAGGTAATGGAATATATAGTAAAAATACAAGGAGATCTTGAAAAGGATACATTGGTACTTGATATGTATTTGTGAAGTTTATTTTCTTAAGCTGAGTGGTGGATACATGATTATTTATTACTTTATTCGCTTTTGTATGTGAAATATATAAATATTTCAAACGGAATGCTACCCCTGGTCATAAGGTTGTTCTTGCTTGCTTTTGTGCAGTTTATAGGAATACTTTTGATAACTACTCTATGTATTTAATAAATGTTATGAAGGAAATGAAAATATTTACATACAGCAATGGTTCTTAACTTCAGCCTGCATCACAATCACGTGGTGGACTTGCTAAAACACAGACTGCTGGGCCCCATCTTTACAGTGATTCAGTAGGTCTAGGGTGAGGCCCAATAATTTGCATTTCTAACAAGTTTCCCGGTGATCACGCTGCTGCTGCTGGTCCAGTCCAGGCACTACACTTTGAGAGCCACTGCCCTCGAGGGTTTCTGTGGTATAAATGATGATATCGTAAATTGGCCAAGAGTTAGGAACCATCCTCCTTATCATTCTCCTCTACCTAACATACTCACCCCTGTGGGTTATGACAGTTTCACCAGTGTGAGGCAAAGGGAGCATACATAGAACAGTGCCATTTTGAGACTGCCCTATAAACCTGGCAAGTGCTATTCCCTTTACAAAGATGCCCAGGAGATGGTTTATTCCAGTGGCAGAGCTGTCTGAGGAACTGTTTAAAATATCCTTACAGGGGCTTCCCTGGTGGCGCGGTGGTTGAGAGTCCGCCTGCTGATGCAGGGGACACGGGTTCGTGCCCGGGTTCAGGAGGATCCCACACGCCGTGGAGCGGCTAGGCCCGTGAGCCATGGCCGCTGAGCCTGTGCCTCCGGAGCCTGTGCTCCGCAGCGGGAGAGGCCACAGCAGTGAGAGGCCCGCATACCGCAAAAAAAAAAAAAAATCCTTACAGAAAGGTGAATTGCCTCTTTAGAACTAATCACTGAAATTTTAGTGTAAGTTGCCACTAAGTGTACTTCTCTTTCCTTCGAAACTTCTCGAAAGCTGTTACATAAAGTAGAAAATGCCTTTATGTCTGTTAGAGGTTTATAATCTTTGTCAAAATAGTTTTTTGTACATTGATTTCTTTATACAGTGACTTATTTTATAGTTCTAGCGGTGCTGTTTTAGATGGGTTTGTTTTACTATACATTCTGACTTTTTATTTCTTTGTCCCTTCATTTGTCTAGTTATTAGTTATAATCATAAGCATTTATTTAGAGATTCACTGTTTTAAGGAGAGGTAGTCTTGTCAATAACTTTCTTATGGAGCCCTTTGGCAGTAAGACATTAACACTGCTAACTTCTTTGTTTAAATGGATTTTTCTTTTCTTTTTTTTTTTTTTTAAGGCAGGAGCCACTTGGTTGTCAATCCAATTTTAAACATTCATTTTAAATTAGCAAAAATCTGTTTTTTACAAAAAAATCAGATTACATCATGATGCCCTTTAAATCAAGTAGATCTCATTTAGTCTTAGTGTAGCTATAACTACCTTTTTTCCTGAGCAAAGCTAGTCTAGAATTATCCTGTAATATATGCTGAGTGTTTCTGAAACCTTTCCTCTTCTTCATTAGCCACATTTTGAGGTAAACAGAATTTTTTTTTTTTAATTTTCTATAAAAAATGTACACCGAAATAACACTGCCAATAAGAATATTTAAAATATAAATTATACGCAAGTCCTGTAGCCCCTTTCCAAATATATATACACACATATATTTAATGCCATATTAAATTAACTAAGGATAATTTAAAGCCATCACTCTTAGCTCAACCTTTAAATACTAACCATCTAGAATATGAAGCCAAAACTCTGCATTTTTGTTCAGTGATGCTTTTTTCCAGCCAATATTTTATTATACATTACCATTGTCAACAACATTCTTTAATTAATGTAACATTTAATGCCTATTTTTAATGGATTTAGCATAATATGCTAAAGCAATTTCTTTTTTTTTTAACATCTTTATTGCAGTATAATTGCTTTACAATGGTGTGTTAGTTTCTGCTTTATAACCAAGTGAATCACCTATACATATACATATATCCCCATATCTCCTCCCTCTTGCGTCTCCCTCCCACCTTCCCTATCCCACCCCTCTAGGTGGTCACAAAGCACCAAGCTGATCTCCCTGTGCTATGCGGCTGCTTCCCACTAGCTATCTCTTTTACATTTGGTAGTTTATGTATGTCCATGCCACTCTTCTCACTTCACCCCAGCTTACCTCCCCCTCCCTGTGTCATCAGGTCCATTCTCTACATCTGTGTCTTTATTTCTGTCCTGCCCCTAGGTTCTTCAGAACCATTTTTTTTACTCCATATATATGTGTTAGCATATGGTATTTGTTTTTCTCTTTCTGACATACTTCACTCTATATGACAGTCTCTAGGTCCATCCACCTCACTACAAATAACTCAATTTTGTTTCTTTTTATGGCTGAGTAATATTCCATTGTATGTACGTGCCACATCTTCTTTATCCATTCATCTGTTGATGGACACTTAGTTTGCTTCCACGTCCTGGCTATTGTAAATAGAGCTGCAATGAATATTGTGGTACTTGACTCTTTCTGAATTATGGTTTTCTCAGGGTATATGCCTAGTAGTGGGATTGCTGGGATGTATGGTAGTTCTATTTTTAGTTTTTTAAAGAACCTCCATACTGTTCTCCATAGTGGTTGTATCAATTTACATTCCCACTAACAGTGCAGGAGGGTTCCCTTTTCTCCACACCCTCTCCAGCATTTCTTTTGTTTGTAGATTTTTTAATGATGGCCATTCTGACCGGTGTGAGGTGATACCTGATTGTAGTTTTGATTTGCATTTCTCTAATGACCAGTGATGTTGAGCATCCTTTCATGCGTTTGTTGGCTATCTGTATATCTTCTTTGGAGAAATGTCTGTTTAGGTCTTCTGCCCATTTTTGGATTGGGTTGTTTGTTTTTTTGATATGGAGCTGCATGAGCTGCTTGTAAATTCTGGAGGTTAATCTTTTGTCACTTGTTTTGTTTGCAAATATTTTCTCCCATTCTGAGGCTTGTCTTTCTGTCATGTTTATGGTTTCCTTTGCTGTGCAAAAGCTTTTAAGTTTCATTAGGTCCCATTTGTTTATTTTTGTTTTTATTTCCATTTCTCTAGGAGGTGGGTCAAAAAGGATCCTGTTGTGATTTATGTCATAGAGTGTTCTGCCTATATTTTCCTCTAAGAGTTTTATAGTGTCTTTAGGTCTTTAATCCATTTTGAGTTTATTTTTGTGTATGGTGTTAGGGAGTGTTCGTATTTCATACTTTTACATGTACCTGTCCAGTTTTCCCAGCACCACTTATTGAAGAGACTGTCTTTCCTCCATTGTATATTCTTGCCTCCTTTATCAAAAATAAGGTGACTGTATGTGCGTGGGTTTATCTCTGGGCTTTCTATCCTGTTCCATTGATCTATATTTCTGTTTCTGTGCCAGTACTGTACTGTCTTGATTACTGTAGCTTTGTAGTATAGTCTGAAGTCAGGGAGCCTGATTCCTCCAGCTCCGTTTTTCAAGATTGCTTTGGCTATTTGGGGTCTTTTCTGTTTCCATACAAATTGTGAAATTTTTTCTTCTAGTCTGTGAAAAATGCCAGTGGTAGTTTGATAGGGATTGCATTGAATCTATAGATTGCTTTGGGTAGTAGAGTCATTTTCACAATGTTGATTCTTCCAATCCAAGAACATGGTATATCTCTCCATCTGTTTGTCTTGTCTTTAATTTCTTTCATCAGTGTGTTATAGATTTCTGCATACAGGTCTTTTGTCTTAGGTAAGTTTATTCCTAGGTATTCTATTCTTTTTGTTGCAGTGGTAAATGGGAGTGTTTCCTTAATTTCTCTTTCAGATTTTTCATCATTAGTGTATAGGAATGCTAGAGATTTCTGTGCATTAATTTTGTATTCTGCTACTTTACCAAATTCATTGATTAGTTCTAGTTGTTTTCTGGTAGCATCTTTAGGATTCTCTATGTATAGTATCATGTCCTTTGCAAACAGTGACAGTTTTACTTCTTTTCGATTTGGATTCCTTTTATTTCTTTTTCTTCTCTGATTGCTGTGGCTAAAACTTCCAAAGCTGTGTTGAATAATAATGGTAAGAGTGGACAACCTTGTCTTGTTCCTGATCTTAGAGGAAATGGTTTCAGGTTTTCACCATTGAGAACAGTGTTGGCTTGGGGTTTGTCATATATGGCCTTTATTATGTTGAGGTAAGTTCCCTCTATGCTTACTTTCTGGAGGGTTTTTATCATAAATGGGTGTTGAATTTTGTCGAAAGCTTTTTATGCATCTATTGAGATGATCATAGGGTTTTTATCCTTCAATTTGTTAATATGGTGTATCACATTGATTGATTTGCATATATTGAAGAATCCTTGCATTCCTGGGATAAATCCCACTTGATCATTGTGTATGATCCTTTTATTGTGCTGTCAGATTCTGTTTGCTAGTATTTTGTTGAGGATTTTTACATCTATGTTCATCAGTGATATTGGCCTGTAGTTTTCTTTCTTTGTGACATCTTTGTCTGGTTTTGGTATCAGGGTGATGGTGGCCTCGTAGAATGAGTTTGGGAGTGTTTCTCCCTCTGCTATATTTTGGAAGAGTTTGAGAAGGAGAGGTTTTAGCTTTCTCTAAATATTTGATAGAATTTGCCTGTGTAGCTGTCTGGTCCTGGGCTTTTGTATGTTGGAAGATTTTTTAATTTATTTTTTATTTTATTTTTATTTTTTTGGGGGGGTACGCGGGCCTCTCACTGTTGTGGCCTCTCCCGTTGCGGAGCACAGGCTCCGGACGCACAGGCCCAGCGGCCATGGCTTACAGGCCCAGCCACTCCGCGGCATGTTGGATCTTCCCGGTCCAGGGCATGAACCCGTGTCCCCTGCATCGCCAGGCGGACTCTCAACCACTGTGCCACCAGGGAAGCCCTGTTGGAAGACTTTTAATCACAGTCTCAATTTCAGTGCTTGTGATTGGTCTGTTCATATTTTCTATTTCTTCCTGGTTCAGTCTCGGAGTGTTCTTCTTTTCTAAGAATTTGTCCATTTCTTCCAGGTTGTCCATTTTATTGGGATACAGTTGCTTGTAGTAATCTCTCATGATCCTTTGTATTTCTGCAGTGTCAGTTGTTATTTTCCTTTTTCATTTCTAATTCTATTGATTTGAGTCTTCTCCCTGTTTTTCTTGATGAGTCTGGCTAATGGTTTATCAGTTTTGTTTATCTTCTCAAACATTTTAGTTTTATTGATCTTTGCTGTTGTTTCCTTCATTTCTTGTTAGTAATTCTTAAATACGAATCTCATGGCAGTACTTAACTAAATTAGATAACCATGATGTTTGGAAATGTTTTTACTTAATAGTCATGGCAGAAATAAAAAGCCACATACTATTGGGGAAAGAGTTGTTCTTGCTGCTACAGTAAAAATGGTTATGATGATACACAGAAAAATATTATAACAAACTAAATGCCTTTCTTGTCGGCAAGTTCTGGTGGAAGATTCACAGAAAACATTGCTAACGATTCAAAAAAAAACAGTGAGAATGTTTTGGCTGAAACTGAAGCTATTTGTAATAAGCTTCAGATGACTGCATTTTGCTATATCAGTTTCAATTATGGAAGTCCACGAAGAACTGATTTTCTATGAGCCAAAAGGAATATGTTCCAGAGAAGACATATTTTCAGTAATGTTATTTCTTTAAAACACATGATGTTTTATGGAAACTGAAAACATTACTTCTAACTGAATAGGTACTTTGATTAAAATTTACAAAGGATTTAGGATGACTGATAGATGTGAAATTTCTTTACTCAGTCATTCAAGGGAAAGTTATTACGATAATGAAGTTGAAAACATAAGTGCACAGAGTACCTCTGAATGTTACTGTCAATTTTATAAAAATAAAACCTTTTAATTATAACAAGATTGTAACCAAAGTTTGTGATGAGAAACGGAGTAACTCTGACAGTATTTTGTACCATCAAGAAGTTTCTGGTCATCTTGTAGCTTACTTCATTAAAAACAATAAAACTTGAAGATAGTTCTTGGTTTTCTTTTACCAAAAAGAAACAAAAAAATCAAAATTATGTTGTGTGGTTAGTGGCTACCTTGCTATGTAACAGTTTTTTAAATAAAAATAAATATTCTTTATCTCCTGAGGGCAAAGCGTTGTTTATAGTAGAGTGAAAAAAAGAATCTTATTTTTTGAAAGAAACTTGTGCATGGATAGAACATTTTGAAAATGAATGTAAACTTTACATGGTTAGGCTTCTTTTGTTCCCTAATTATCCAGAGTCTTTACAACAGTGTCTGGCACATGGTCAGCACTTGGTAAGTACCTGAATTAATTTAATCTTTAACACAAAATGATTTAAGTATATCACCTATAAAAACTTAAGTGTGACCTCAGGCACATAAAATATTAATTCAAAATGGATCTAAGATCTAAATATAAGGACTAAAACCATAAAGCTCTTTAAAGAAAACATAGAGGTAGATCTTCATGACCTTGAATTTGGCAATGGATTCTTAGATATGGCACCAAAAGCACAAGCAACAAAACAAAAAAGTAAACAAATTCAACTTCATCACAATTAAAAACTTTTGTGCACCTAAGGATATTATCAAGAAAATGAAAAGACAATCTACAGAATGGAAGAAAATCTTTTTACATCATATATCTGATAAGGTTTAATATCCAAAATATACGTAGAATTCCTAAAGCAGCAACAAAAAGACAACCCAATTAAAAAATTGGCTAATAACTTGAATAAACATTTCTCCAAGGAAGAAATAAAGATAACTAATAAGCATATGAAAAAAATGCTCAGTATCATTAGTCATTAGAGCAATGCAAATCAAAGCTACAGTGAGATACCATTTTACACTACTAGCATGAGTGTAATTAAGTAAACAATCAAACAGGAACAAGTGTTGCTGAGGATGTGGAGAAATTGGAACCTTTGCATTGCTGGTGGGAGTGTGAAATGATGCAGCTGCTGTGGGAGACAGCTTAGTAGTTCCTCAAAAGTCTAAACAAGGAATTACTGTATATCCAGCAAGTCTACTCCTAGGCATATACCCAAAGAAATTAAAAGCTGGGAGTCACACAGATATTTGTAGGCCAGTGATTGTTGCAGCATTATTCACAGTAGCCAAAAGATAGAAACAACCTAAGCATGTATCAGCAGATGAATGGATAGACAAAATGTGGTATACACATAGAATGAAATATTATTCAGCCATAAAAAGGAAAGAAGTTCTAATAGATGCTGTAACATAAGCAAACTCGTAGAGACAAAAGTAGATTAGGTGTTACCAGGGCCTGGAGGGAGGAAAGAATGGGTAGTTATTACTTAGTGTTTACAGAATTTCTGTTTAGGGTGATGAGAAACTTTTGGAAACAGATAGTGGGGTTGGTTGTACAACACTGTGAACGTAATTAATGCCATTGAATTGTACATCTTAAAATGGCAAACTGTTTTATCTTTTACCATAAAAAAAAAATCTTATGTGAGTAGCCAACCTTGGGAATAGAATTTTTAGTGTGTTTTAAAATATTACGAAAGAGGAATTCTCTAGTGGCGCACTGGTTAAGAATCCGCCTGCCAGTGCAGGGGACGTAGGTTCAAGCCCCGGTCCGGGAAGATCACACATGCCACAGAGCAACTAAGCCCGTGTGCCACAACTACTGAGCCTGCACTCTAGGGCCCGCGACCCACAACTACTGAGCCCGCGTGCCACAACTACTGAAGCCCGCGCGCCTAGAGCCCACACTCCACAACAAGAGAAGCCACCGCAGTGAGAAGCCCCCGCACCCCAATGAAGAGTAGCCCCCGCTCGCTGCAACTAGAGAAAGCCTGTGCGTAGCAACGAAGACTCAACACAGCCAAAAATAAATAAAATAAATAAATAAATTTATAAAAACACGTTAAAAATAAAAATGTTTAGAGGCTGTCCATCAGGAGGATATTGTCATTTAAAAAGCATTTTGTGAATGGCATATCTTTAAAGTTGTATTTTTTCTGTGTTTTAGGCTGCTGGTCTTGGGCGTATGAAACCAAACACACTTGTCCTTGGATTTAAGAAAGATTGGTTGCAAGCAGATATGAGGGATATGGATATGTATATAAACTTATTTCAGTAAGTATCCTTTTAATTTGGTAACTTAGTTGATTCAGAAAATATTAATTTTGAAAGCTTGCACTGGTTTTTGAAGTCTGTTTCTCATGTAGTCTCTTCTAGTAGAAGCATAGAATGAAAATAATCATTTGGAAGTTATTTACATTTCTTTTTTTAAAATGCACTTATCTTGCTTTTCCACCCCCTTGAAGTATTAAGTTCTGAGTTTACTATTCACTTTTCAGTGGTTATTTCCAATGATGTTTATAAGACAGCTTAGTTTTGATTTACATCACATTAATTTCCGTCTTACAGGTTGTCTAATGAGTTCTTATCCTTTTGTTACTTTGTCTTTCTGATTTTAATCTATCCATGTTATTTTTGGATACGTATCTGTTTAATCTATTACAAAGGTGTTTTGGGACTGAGTTATTTAATAAAAAGAATAAAATTTCTATTTTTGTCATACTTTGTTTTTAATCTTGAAAAGTACTTTTTCTAGTATTCCTAGTATTTATTTAGCAAATCTCTTTATCTCATTCACACTGTTTTATAGAGGATAAGGATTCCCTCTTAGTACATCATACTTGATTGAAGAGTAGTCTTTTTCTTGTCATAGATGCTGATGAAATAGAACTGTTCACTCCTTATAAAGTATTTCTGTATAAAAATTGTCATTTAAAAAAATCTATATTTGGCAAAATAACTCTAGTACCAGATTCAAATCCTACTTCTCTGTGAATTTTTATCTGTTTATCCTTAACTCACTGGAGTTATTTCCCTTCCTGGAGCTCCTGTTTTATCTATTGGTAGAACCATATAATTATTTGCCTGTATCACATATAATGCTTTTGTTTTCATAGCTACCTTGAAACATCTATGTGGAAGTAACCAGGTCTCATACTTTACTTTCATAAATCTCTTTATATTCATTAGTAAAATATACGATAGTTAAGATTTCCCAAGTAATTGTTAAATGGTTTTTAGTAAAATTCAAGCTCTGCTGGTTTGTCAGACGTTGTGACTGGTCTTTGGCTTTGGGTTCGTTAACTTTTTCATAAACAGCACTTCACTCTCCCTTTCTAATTCTGTAGTCTGTACTACGTATGCATGGGGATTAGGGAAAGTTTTCTTTGAAGATGTTAAGACCAGTGAGATGGAGTAATTATCCTAGAAAATAGAAAAAGAGACATTTTTGCAAATCATTCATTCATTATTAGTTGTAGTTTGTCATAACGGGAGCGCTGAAAGAAAGGAGTCTTTTCTGACACTGATCTTTTAGGAACTGAAGTGAATGTTTGCTCTGAGAGTCAAGTGTTAATCCAAGTATTATATGTCAAGCAGCAGTTTAAAGATAGGTAAAATATTGCTCTCTGGTTTCTGGAACCATAGACATTGATGGCTATTTTAAAGCAGTGATACTGCTTACTCTTTTATCTTGTGACACTTATGTTCTGGTTGTGATTTTAAATACCTTGAACAGTTGAGGTATACTTTATTTACTATGTATGTATTAACAGTATGGAGGGTCTGAAACTGCAAATCAACTTCTATAGCTTAAAGAAATTATATAGATTATAGAAATTTCTATACCTTATAGCAAAAACATTTAGCTATTTTAGTCTGAAGTAGACTAAGAGCTATATTCACTGGATTTTCTTTAAGGAAATTGATTTTGATTCAATTACTTTATTAACTATTTTTTTAAATACTTGTAGTTATTTCTTCTCTAATAGTTAATTAGATCTTTCATAGTACAGCAGAGGAAGGTTAACATGTCTATTAATTTTTTCTCCAGTGAATCTGGAGAAAATATGGATGTCACTGTAATTTTTAAAGCATATTATAAGAATCAGATACTTAAAGCTGAAAGTAAATTTAGAGATCATCTACTATTGCCTTCATTTTACAGAAGAGAGAAACAAATTTTTGTGATTTAAAAAAATTTTTTTTTTTTTCTTGTTACAGTGACGCCTTTGATATACAATACGGAGTAGTAGTTATCCGCCTAAAAGAGGGTCTGGATATATCTCATCTTCAAGGACAAGGTAAATCTTGTTTGAAATACATTTTTTATCTTAAAAATATAAATTACTTTGTTAGAAAATTATATATAATTCTACAAATTCTTTAAAAATTTTAATATTTACCATCTAATATGTGTCATATACTTATTGTATGGCATTTTAAGATCAGATCTGATTGGCTCTACCAAAGTTTGGATTTTCTCTTTATACCAACCTGAATGGTGGCTAGTAATTATTAATAGAATAAAATTCAATTCAAATCGTAAGTTTAAGAGAAACAGACATTAGTTATGATTGTAGTTTGGCCAAAGTTATAAAAATACATGATAAATAAAATAATCAAAAGAAAACATTTTAGACATTTTCATGTTTATGGAAGATATACTTTGTACATAGAGGCATATTAATAATGAAAAACTAAACTTTGTTGTATCATTTACTCTTTCTTCAGAAAAGACTATATTTTTGTAACTTTCTCATTTTGAAGTAATTATAGTTTCACAAAATTTGTGTACCCTTCCTCCAGTTTCCCCCACTGGTAACATCATAACTATAGTTCTGTATCAAAACCAGGAAATTGACATTGGGACAATTTACATACCTTATTCAGATTTCACCAGTTTTACATACACTTGTGTGTGCAAATGTGCACACAAGCACATGTGTGTGGTTCTGTTTCACTTGTCACATATGTTGTTTCATGTAAGATACAGAGCTGTTCCATCACCACAAAGATCTCCCTTGTGCTACTGCATTATAGCTTCCATTCATACCCTTTCCTTGTTCTCTAACCCCTGACACCCACTGATCTCCTCTCAAACTATATAATTTTTTAAGCTTTTAAAACTTTTTTTTCATTAAGCTTAAAACCTGTTAAAGTATACTTAGCACTTTTGCCAACTTTATAAAAACTATGGAAAATTCCATACCCTCTAATGATTTCCTGGTAGCTTAAAAAATACTGTAAGTTTAAGAAAATTTGTGTACCTAATATTTTATCCTTATCAATTAATTAACCAGGTCATCAAAATTAGCTAAGGCTAAATAGGTGAGAGGCATATAATGAACTTTCCTCATCTGTTCATGTATTTAAACTGTTCTAATCCTCCCACTCCCCCCACCACTTTAAGGGTATTGTGCATTTCTGAAAGGAATGCTTTGAGGTCTTTATCCATGTAACACAAAAGTGTGGCCTGCTGAAAATGCATTTTCTTACTCTGGAGTAGGCCTTGCAAAATACTATTTATTATGCTTGTTATGCTCTAACAGTAATTTTGGTTTAGGATACCTGTTAACTCTGCATAATTATTAGTAGTGTTCCCTTTCACTCTCAAAAACATCAGAGTTTGGCTAATAAATAATATACTCTGTAATTTGCTGAGATTTAAATGTGATTGGAAGTTCAAGAAAATATTTTCAAGTGTTTATAATCATAAGAATTGTTTTGAAAGCCCCCTTATTCATCATTAAGATTTGGAGACAGTAATTTGCTTTAGCACAGGGCTTAAGAGCATAGGCTGTAGAGTCAGATATGCTTTGAAACTTCCAGCTTTTTCTCTTAGTAGTTTTGTAGCTGGGGCAAATTTGTTGACTTCCAAGCCTCAGTTTCCTCATCTTTATTCATAAGGCTATTGTGAAGATACTGTCTGTGAAGCTCTTAGCATAGTGCTGGCACTGAGGCTTACATACTTTCTATTGTTATTTCTCTTAATATACACATATCAGTGATGAGTATTATGGATAGAAGATCAATTCATATTATGTTTGTCTTTATGATAAATCTTTTTTATTGTGGAAGCTAAACGTTTACTAACTCCTTCCCAAAAAACAAAAAATGAAGAAAGTGCTTTAAAAATAGAGACGGCACTTTCACCATGAGCTTCTATCCCCTAGTTTTGGCTCTATAGTCATGGGTATAATTTTTCACTGTTGTCTGTCATCTTATATGTATATGAACATTTGTCACATCCTACATTTTTTACATGTGTAAATGACTTTTAGAGTTGGTTCACATTTTATACATCATTCTTTTGTCTACCAGATTCTTATGTTCTGTACATCTGACTCATTACTGATTCCCCATCACCTAATTCAAATGTCTGACAGTTAGTTGTGGCTAAAGATATTTAGTTGAATAGTCATTTCAAAATTGATTGTCACATTTGTTTATAATAAGAAATTATTCATTATAAACTTACTTACCATTATCATTATAAACTTTTCTTAAAATTGTCATTTAATTGCTATTATACCATGATGCCCTCTTTTGTTAAAAGATTCAGATAACATTTTGAATACTTTATGTCTACAGAAGAATTACTGTCATCACAAGAGAAATCTCCTGGTGTCAAGGACGTGGTACTAAGTGTGGAGTATAGTAAAAAATCAGATTTAGATACTTCTAAACCATCTAGTGAAAAATCCATTACACATAAAGGTAATTTTTATTCAAACAAGAAATTTTATTAATGGCAATGTTTTAATTTTGGAAGAAATAGTTTTTATTATATGGCATGTCTTACAAAGTAACCAGTTCTCAAACATGTATTGTTCATTTCTAGTTGCTCAGGTAAAATTTATGCCTTTCCAAAATGGCTACAAATGATTATTTTTAAGGTATTAAGTAGATCATAGAACAGAAACCATGCCAGTTAATTAAACATGCTCTTGTGTGTTTTTATTTATACTTAATTTTAATTTGAAGCATAGATTAATCTGAACTTGGAAAGAAACATGGTAGTTTTCGAGTAATGTGTGTATAGCATATGATAACATTGAAAGGAATGAGGTTTATAAAATTAGTTTACATAATTTTTTTTGTAAATCAAGATACTTCAATACCAGGGGTTTTGTTTATGTGCTGAGACACTCAGAATATTTTTACATCTACTGTACCTGGTATTGTTCAGGTAAAACAATGTAGTAAAATATCAAGTGTAATTTTATTGCTCAATGTAGTCTCCTCCCAAGAAATGAGTAATTTACGTTTGTCTGCTGAACTGTTGGGCCATAATTACAGAAATAAATACTCCTGGTGGCTAATGTGGTTTAAGCCACAAAAAGATTTCCAAATCTCCTGAGACTTTGGGATAATTTCATCCACAAATCTCTATGTCATGTTTATGAGAAGGAAAGAGGAATGACTTCCAAATCTTACTCTCCCACCCTCACTCTCCTACCTCTGTTCAGCCTAGTATCTCCATCTGTCCTACTCCCAGCTGACATGCAACAAGAAAAATCTGCACTGTAAATCATCAAACCGTATCATACTTTTGCTTCCTGTAAAATAATTACCATTCTTTTTCTGAAATTGATAACCTTGGACAACTCCTATCTCTGAAATCTCTTCTAGATTATTTAGAAGCATTAATGTTGCTTTTTCTTTCCTCCTTATTTACCTTGTTTGCTTAGAGTAGTGGTAGTTGAGAGTTTAGTTGAGACCCATTTTCCATATCAATTCTTTGCTGGCTTGATTATAATCTTTTTTTTTCTATTTCACCTCAAAATTCTATAAACTGGTTCTGATAACTCTTCTTATGTTCCTGCATTTATTTTTAGTTTGTGGTATACATTCTTTCATTTCCTCTTGTTTGTTGTTGTTGTCCTTTTCTCTTGCCTAAAACAGATCCTTTCTTTATGGAATCTGTTAGGAATTAACAGGTAAAACTATGATAGGAGGAGAAGTAATATATTTATCAGGCATCTACTGTTCCTCTCACACTGTAGTAGATGTTATCCATTCATTAGCTCATTAATGTATGTCACAATCTTATGAAGTCTATTTTTATAGAGTAGGGAACTGGGTCAGTACATTTCTACTCATCTTTTTATTACAAAAATGTAAATGCCTTTAACTTAGTTTAAATCATTTTTCAGTGTCAAGATTTCCTTGACATTTCTGAGCTCTTTGAAATGAATACAGAATGTCCATAGTTATATTTGTTTTTTATTATCATTAAAGATAGATAATATCAAATATCTACTTTATAGGAACAGTAATATTTAATACTGTTAAATTAAATGTAATAATTGAAATGTTTCTTGTTCCATAACAGGCATAAAAATTAGCATTCAAAAATAGCATTTATTTTATTTTGTGTTTATTTTCTATTTAGCCAGTTATTTTCAAAATTAGTATAGAAAATATAGGAAAGTTTATATAATTTTAAACGTCTTCAGAATTATAAACATTCTGGTATAGTTATTATATTTGGTACGTCTGTCTTATTGAGGCATGCAGTATGCAGAGGGACAGAAAGAGTACCCTGTGAATATGTGTTTTGTGCTAGGCACTGAGCTGAGTGCATTAATGCTTGCAATATGACAACCTTAAGAGGTAGGTATTGTTCACCCTTTTAACAAAGGAGGAAAGTGAGGAGTTAAGTAACTAGCTTAAGGTCACACAGCTAGAAGATGGGTTAGAGGTAATCTTGGAATGCTGGGAGTCTGACTCAAGAGCCCACTGCAGTGTACTCTTTCCTGTCCAAGTTGGGAGTTTTATGTGCCTTAAACAAATAGTACAGCTTAGAATATGAAAAGATTTCAGATTAGGAGAACTATTAACCCTAGGAAATATTTATAGATATGTAAATGGACTGACATATGCTATATACATGCATGTATACACACATGTGTATATATACATATACATATATGTGTATATATAAATTTATGTATTTGAAAAATCACTCCTGTATAACCTGGCATTTTATGTAAACCAAAAGACTTGTCTCTGATCAAATTCCTAAATATTCAAGTGGTGATTAATTTTTACAAATACCAAATATATCTATTAAGGGCTTCTAAAATTCCTTGTCAGTCATTTGCACAGTGATGCAGTGGCATGTTTGAAATTTATGTATTACTTGCAACATCAGTTTTATAATATCATATTTCTACTCTATAAGCCAGAGCAACTGATTTCAAGTATGAAAGTTTAAAAATTCTAAAGTTTTTGTCAGTTTTACAGGAATGAAATTTAGGGGTGGGTGTTACTCAGTAGCCCTGTTGGAGGAGTCTAAAATATGTTTGCTTTTTCAAATCCTGAACACTCAGTGTAGAAAATATCTTCAGTCTTAATTATTTTTCACACTGTTTCTTCATACTATGTTTTATTTATAAATGTGTTCTAGTTACATTTTCATTATTTTATTAATAAGAAGGCAATTAACTTATATTTTGTGTTTTTTAAACATAATCTAGATGAGGAAGAGGATGGCAAGACTCCAACTCAGCCACTGTTGAAAAAAGGCAGGCATTTTTCATCATTTTATTTTAATCCTTTTTCTCATACTGTTAATTCTTTAACTCCAGTCTTACTGTTTTCTTTCTTTACCTTGGTTTTCATTTCCATGGTGAGGTGATGTTACAGGTTTTTATTAAATGCAGATTAGAAAAATTATCATTAGGCCAACTAAAGCATTAAATTATCCCAGGAAAAGGTAATATAACAAAGACAAATTCTTTTAAATCGAAGACAAATTCTTTTAAATCATGGTAGTATTTCAGAAATATTCAAATCCTGAAAGTCAGTATTGTAATTTTTAAATTTAAACTGCATGGTTTAGATGATAAGTAGAGACACTGAAATAGGTTTATTTACAGTGTCACTTGCATTCTTTACCATCAGTTGTACCCAGCCAAGTCCTTAATTTTGATACTAATATATTTCTCATTTCAAAAATTACAATATTTCTCACAGTCCTGCTGCGTTTGGGAGATACAGTCATGTCAACATACATGAATTTTATGAGAAGGAGATAGAGGTGAGAGTTATGGAGCAGTGTGGTTTGGTAGCCATATTATTTCATCATGCAAAATCATTCGTCATGTTTTGCGTACATCATGGCAGCATGAAAAGTGAATGATAGACATTCTACAAAAGTGATCAGACTTCCTTCTGTGGATTTATGCTTTTAAAATTCGGTGTAGGGATTTCATTATATTCATTTGCTTGCTCACAGAGTCAGTGCTGATTTTTTTTTCTTCCTTTTTAATTCCTGGGGATACATAATGGGAACTCCCTTGATAAATTGTTCTTTAGACCTACAGTAGATGGGTGCCCTTCCTAGGAGTTCCCACAGTCTTTCTGTGGTTCAAAGAAAGATGTGGTGGTTATATGGCTTTAGAATTGGGCCTCACATATTGAGGGGACAAAAGTTAGGTATAGATGAGGGAGTTTTTCCTTAGACTGAGCGGTTTCATTGTGATAACTGCATGATTGTATTGATATGTCTCCCATTTCTTTCTGTCTTTTATATTACAGATAACGTTACATTTAAATTTTTTTTTGAGCTTTAAATTATTGAGAAACCAGATTACCAAAGAAATTATGTTCATGAAACGGGCATAAGCTTAATTTGCCCAGTTAGCCTGAAACAGCTTTTCAAAAATCAAAATCTAGCGATCATAATTTTCTTTAGTAGTTTTTATGATTCTCTTTCATTCAGAATGCTTCAAAATATTAGAAATTAGGCAAGATAATTTGGATGAGTTTAGGTATTATAGAGATATTATTTATCTGTAACCATTTTAAAAGTATACTTAAATTGTAAACAACTATAACCTTATGATTGATGTCATATATACAACTATCTACATTATAAACATTTGAATATACAAAAGTTAGGGAACTATGGGAATTTAGCAAAATATACTTTAATATTTACCTCCTCCCTAATATCTTATTTTTCTGCTTGATCCTTCAGAACCCAAAGGCCCTGCTGTGCCTTTAAATGTAGCTGACCAAAAGCTTCTTGAAGCCAGTACACAGTTTCAGAAAAAACAGGGAAAGAACACTATTGATGTCTGGTGGCTTTTTGATGATGGAGGTAAGGTTGCTAACATATGTTTTTAAGAAGTTTAAATTTTCTGAAGTTTTGGGGGTAGTACTAGGAAATGGTATATACTCTTCATTGACCCCATTCCTGTTAAGCCAGGTCCCCCAAAGCAACAGGATTAGTTCCAGAATCAGGCATCACACTTCGTTGTCCTGTCCCTTCAGTATCCTTCAATTTGAAAGTTGCTCAGTCCTTCCTTGAGCTTCATGACTTTAACATTATTTTTTAGATATTACAGATCATTTTGTAGTAGAATGTCACTTGATTTGGAGTGCTGTTTAATGATTCATCATAATTAGTTTCTGTGGGTAGAAATATCACAGAAGTGATGCTGTGCCCTTCTGTCTGTGTCTTATCAGGTGGCACATAGTGTTGATTTGTCTCATCACTGGTGAAGGTAGCTTTGACCATTGAGTAAGGTGGTTTTCCCCAGGTTTACCGAAAACTTATTGTTACCCCCTTTTATGATTATGATATTAGGGCACGGGGAGTTACTTTGAGACTATGCACATATACCATCGTTACTGCTATTTTTGGCACCATCTTTAGCATCCATTGATATTTCTGCCTGAATTTATTCTTGCCGTTACTCTTGTTGTGGTGTGTTTGTGGTGTCCAAATGATGATTTTTCCAATCCCGTCATTTCTTCATTTATTAGTTGGTGTTTAACTATAAAGAGGAGCTTTCTCTTTACTTCTATGTGGACTTATGGATTCCTGTTTTATTCAGTGGATTATGATTTTTTCATTCTCATAGTTTGTTTTGATGTTGTCCCAGATTTGGCCAGCAGTATTCTCTTTAGGATAACTTCTGTGTCCATTTGTCATGTCCAAATCATTCTTTATTTTCTGATAAAATAAGACGTTCCAGGCTCAGTTTTGTACTTTACCTACACCAACACTTGAATCACCCTTTATCCAAAGAGGCTTGATTCCTTTTGGTGGAGAATGGTATTTAGAAACAAAGGTCAGGGCATTAGAAGTGCCCGTTTCTACTAGGGTGTGACTGCTTCCAGGCCCTCTTAGTGGACAGATGTAGGATACACACACACACACACACACACCCGCACACACTTATTTGTATATACAGGTATAGATTGAAAACACTTCCATTGCAACACTGCAGGGTTTGCTCCAGCTTCTCCCTTTTTATGTTTCTCATTCCATTGAAAAACATGGCACCCATTAGCTTCAGTGAATACTCTCTTTTCCTCAGTCCTGATACAACCAGTCTCCCTACCCTGCCAGGCCACTATCCCATTTCTTTGCCTTCCTCGCATGGGCCCTGACTCCACTGGGCCTCCCTCCTTATTCAGGCCTGCCAAGTGGCTTTTTGACTGAATTATTAAGGAAGGACTGGAAGAACAATTTTGTTTCATACTGAGTTATAATAAAGGTGTTTTTAGCAACTAACTTGAATTAAAAGTTCTTAATTGAGAAATTAGTGTTTTAATAAGTGATTTGTTATATTTTTATGATTCAGGTTTGACCTTATTGATACCTTATCTTCTGACTACCAAGAAAAAGTGGAAAGATTGTAAGATCAGAGTATTCATTGGTGGAAAAATAAACAGAATAGACCATGACAGGAGAGCGTAAGTCTGTTTTAAATTGATGGGCATTTATCTAGTAGTACTTCGTTATTTCAATATAGATTTGATAGGGATAACAATTAGACAACACAGAAAATGTCAGTCATGTTGCTCTGTTCTGTAGTGAAGCTGAAAAGTCTAGTTAAACAAGTAAAACCTCATTCTCTTTTAGTCTTAACGTTTAAGTTTAGATTCTTGGTTTTACTTATATGTAATATTTTTTAATATATTGACATTTTAGAAAATCGTTATTAAATACTTGCAGCATCAAAGTGTTAAGCAGCCTTTTTTAAAAAGAAAAATCAGGGTAAAAAATACACAAAAGTGATAATTCGTATATGCATTATATTTTGTAGACTTCTAGACAACAGAAATGCAGGATGGCACTGTCCATTTTCTTATTTCTGTCTGTCCTGTCACAATTCTAGTTCTGGTTTCATTGCTTCTCTAAGTACACTGTGTCTCATCTCTGACCATTTCGTAATACATCATGCATATTGCTCCCAATTTCACGTTTAGAAAGCAAAGCTTTGATCATGTGATGCCTCTGCCCCAAATATTTTTAACTTCTTCTCTGTTACACACCACAGAGAGTCTAGGCGACAGGGCCCTTTACAATCTGTCCTCCTGTTTCCTTTCTGTCTATATCTCCTATTCCCCCAAATATGCCTTATACTTCAGTTTACATTTCTGCATCTGCTCTAAACAAACATATGATTTCAGACTTTTACTTCTTTGCCTGCTCTCATCTGTCTACTACAAATAGTTCTTCACTTGCCTCCTCCCTTCTCTGTTAAAATAACTCCATTCTTTAAAACCCCAGTACTTATTGTCACCTTCCTCATAATGCCTTCCCTGTTTCTTTCTAGTTGTTACATTCCCTTCCTGAAACACCATATACTTGATACCAATCATTACATTCTGAGGCTTGAATTATATTTATTTTCTTATCTTAGATTTGAGTTTTGTGGGTCATATAACACATATTAGGCACTTAGTAGATTTACACTGGAGTTGAGCTAAGTATTTATACATTTCAAATCATGAATTATGCAAGAAATACTAGTAATTTAAAAGTTAAACCTATAGCTTGTTTGTTTTCTGTTATCTTAATTTAGAAAACTTATTTTATTAAAAATAAAATCCTGTTTTGTTAATTGCTTTTCCTGTATGTGTGTTTCAACTTTTTTGTTGTTACCACCAAAGTTTAATTGCCAACTCTGCCTCCAAAAAGTTTTTCAGTATTTATTTACTGAAAAACTAGAGGCTTATTGGAGCTCCTTTTCATGTTTGTCCCAGTTTAAAAAAAAAAAGCTGTGAACTTAATCTGCCATCAGTTAAAGCTTCAGTTTTGCCCGAAAAGTCAGAGTTGGACCTTGAAATATGCATTATTTGTGGATAGAAGAATCCAAAAATAATTTAAAAATAACTGTTTACTAGTTTTTACTGAAATACATATACTTACCAATATAATTTGACTAAAATTAACTTTAAAAAAACTAGTTGCCATTCAGATTTCATTATTAATGTCTTGCTCTGTCCATTCATTATTGGATACTAAGGAGAGATTCAGAGAAAGTAAAAGAATACAACACAAGTTTCTACTCAGAATTTAGATGTCTACTTTGTAAGTTAATTCAGATGGACTCTGTTTAGTACCTGGTAGACTTTTCCTATAAATCATATAGATTCAGCCCTAAATAGAATAAGAATACTTCTATATACATCCTTCATGTGTCTCAATGCTTGCTTTTGTTCTAGGATGGCTACTTTGCTTAGCAAGTTCCGGATAGACTTCTCTGATATCATGGTCTTAGGAGATATTAATACTAAACCAAAGAAAGAAAAGTAAGTTATTGGATTAATTACTTTGTATAAATTTCTGACTCTTTTATGGATGACCTACTTAGACATGCTAACAGATCATTTAACTTAGACTAATTACCTGGGGAATTTGCCTGCTGTTAGTTACATGTGAAGTCAACTTGTTTTTAATCTAGCAGATAGTTGGCATGCCTATTGCAGGTATTGAAGTAAGTCTAAAGGGTTTTTAATATTTAGAGAAGAATTCAATTACTGATTTACAAGTAGTTTTTGAAAACAGTGCCACAGAAATTCCACATGGTTCTTAAAATTTCCATTGTTCATTATGACCACTCAGTCCTTACTCCACATGTGTAATACTTTCCACTATTTTGTTTTTTTACTGAAATAGGGGAAAAAAAAATCTAAGAATTTGCCTATAGTAATTGCATTCAGAATTCTCAAGAGTCAAAGAAAAGTAGACTCGTGGACTATTCTACCTGGAAATGGTATATGGAAGTTGTTATAATTATATATATCTATATTACTTACATAATTTTAATTACTTTCAGATATATGTTGAATATATGATGAAGCTGGTATAAAGAATTTATTTGAAGTACAGAACAGTAAGGTATACCTTGTAAGGTTGTAGTCAGGGAGACTTTTTTTTCTCTTATAGAAGAATATATACTAGGAGATTTGTATGAGACTGATTCTGAAAAATATGTTTTTCACATTCATAGAGGCTTAGAATGCTGTTCATGTTCTTCCACTATCTTTTGTCCTTTTTAGTATCTTCGGACCTACAGCTTAATTCTACATCTTAAATGTTTAATATATGCCCTTTCCTCCCTTCAAAATGTTCTAGTACCTTTTCTTACACTACTTCTCTTCAGTGGTACTTGAACTGGGAAAGCAATTGAGTGTTTTGAGTAAAGGAGTAACACAATTAGACTTATTGTTTAACAGGATCATTTTGGCTTATGTGATGAAATTTATTTAGGTTGGCAGGCTGGGGTATAGGAGCAGGGACAGATACAAGGAAACCTGCACTAGCAGTTAAAATTGCAGTTCTTTTATTATGAATATGATTCTAAATTTCTAATCAGTTAGAGAAACTAGTCATTGCTATTTTCAAAATAAATCGCCAGAGTGATTGTTATAGTCAGAGTATGGAAGGGAGCATGATGGTTGGAAAACACTAACTTCTGAAGTTATAATTACACTAACTTTTCAAGTTATAATTTAGTGTTTAAGATCTTACTGTTAAGTAATTCAGCATAAGGTTAATTATCTGTATTCTGTTTTTCTAAGTATTGTAGCTTTTGATGAAATGATTGAGCCATACAGACTTCATGAAGATGATAAAGAACAAGATATTGCAGATAAAATGAAAGAAGATGAACCATGGCGAATAACAGATAATGAGCTTGAACTTTATAAGACCAAGGTATTCTTTCTCTCCTGCTTCCTTTTCATTAATCTTCTGTGTGATTTTTTTAAAAAAATAACTGGGCTTCCCTGGTGGCGCAGTGGTTGAGAGTCCGCCTGCCGACGCAGGGGACACAGGTTCATGCCCCAGTCCGGAGGGATCCCGCATGCCGCAGAGCGGCTAGGCCGGTGAGCTATGGCCGCTGGGCCTGCGCGTCCAGAGCCTGTGCTCCGCAACGGGAGAGGCCACGGTGTTGAGAGGCCCGTGTACCGCAAAAACAACAAAAACAAAAAAAATAAAAATAAAAAAATAACTTAAGACATATGTATCCAGAACTGCAGTGGGACGTTAAAAGGATCATACACCATGATCAAGTGGGTTTTCTCCCAGGAATGCAAGGATTCTTCAGTATATGCAAATCAATCAATGTGATACACCATATTAACAAATTGAAGGAGAAAAACCATACGATCATCTCAATAGATGCAGAAAAAGTTTTCGACAAAATTCAACACCCACTTATTGTAAAAACCCTCCAGAAAGTACACACAGAAGGAACTTTCCTCAACATAATAAAGGCCATATATGACAAACCCATAGCCAACATCATCCTCAATGGTGAAAAACTGAAACCATTTCCTCTAAGATCAGGAACAAGACAAGGTTGCCCACTCTCACCACTATTATTCAACATAGTTTTGGAAGTTTTAGCCGCAGCAGTCAGAGAAGAAAAAGAAATAAAAGGAATCCAAATCGGAAAAGAAGAAGTAAAGCTGTCACTGTTTGCAGGTGACATGATACTATAAAGATGCTACCAGAAAACTACTAGAGCTAATCAATGAATTTGGTAAAGTAACAGGGTACAAAATTAATGCACAGAAATCTCTAGCATTCCTATACACTAATGATGAAAAGTCTGAACGTGAAATCAAGAAAACACTCCCATTTACCATTGCAACAAAAAGAATAAAATATCTAGGAATAAACCTACCTAAGGAGACAAAAGATCTGTATGCAGAAAATTATAAGACACTGATGAAAGAAATTAAAGATGATACAAATAGATGGAGAGATATACCATGTTCTTTGATTGGAAGAATCAACATTGTGAAAATGACTCTACTACCCAAAGCAATCTACAGATTCAATGCAATCCCTATCAAACTACCACTGGCATTTTTCACAGAACTAGACAAAAAATTTCACAATTTGTATGGAAACACAAAAGACCCCGAACAGCCAAAGCAATCTTGAGAAAGAAAAACGGAGCTGGAGGAATCAGGCTCCCTGACTTCAGACTATACTACAAAGCTACAGTAATCAAGACAGTATGGTACTGGCACAAAAACAGAAATATAGATCAATGGAACAGGATAGAAAGCCCAGAGATAAACCCATGCACATATACTCACCTTATTGTTGATAAAGGAGGCAAGAATATACAGTGGAGAAAAGACAGCCTCTTCAATAAGTGGTGCTGGGAAAACTGGACAGGTACATGTAAAAGTATGAAATACGAACACTCCCTAACACCATACACAAAAATAAACTCAAAATGGATTAAAGACCTAAAGACACTATAAAACTCTTAGAGGAAAACATAGGCAGAACACTCTATGACATAAATCACAGCAAGATCCTTTTGAACCCACCTCCTAGAGAAATGAAAATAAAAACACAGATAAACAAATGGGACCTAATGAAACTTCAAAGCTTTTGCACAGCAAAGGAAACCATAAACAAGATGAAAAGACCACCCTCAGAATGGGAGAAAATATTTGCAGATGAAGCAACTGACAAAGGATTAATCTCCAAAATTTACAAGCAGCTCATGCAGCTCAATATCAAGGAAACAAACAACGCAATCCAAAAATGGGCAGAAGACCTAAACAGACATTTCTCCAAAGAAGATATACAGATTGCCAACAAACACATGAAAGGATGCTCAACATCATTAATCATTAGAGAAATGCAAATCAAAACTACAATGGGATATCATCTCACACCGGTCAGAATGGCCATCATCAGAAAATCTACGAACAATAAATGCTGGAGAGGGCATGGAGAAAAGGCAACCCTCTTGCACTGTTGGTGGGAATGTAAATTGATACAGCCACTATGGAGAACAGTACGGAGTTTCCTTAAAAAACTAAAAATAGAACTACCATACAACCCAGCAATCCCACTACTGGGCATATACCCTGAGAAAACCATAATTCAAAAAGAGCCATGTACCAAAATGTTCATTGCAGCTCTATTTACAATAGCCAGGACATGGAAGCAACCTAAGTGTCCATCAACAGATGAATGGGTAAAGAAGATGTGGCACATATATACAATGGAATATTACTCAGCCATAAAAAGAAACGAAATTGAGTTATTTGTAGTGAGGTGGATGGACCTAGAGTCTGTCATACAGAGTGATGTAAGTCAGAAAGAGAAAAACAAATACCATACGCTAACACATATATGGAATCTAAGAAAAAAAAAAGTTCATAAGAACCTAGGGGCAAGACAGGAATAAAGACACAGACCTACTAGAGAATGGACTTGAGGATATGGGGAGGGGGAAGGGTAAGCTGTGACAAAGTGAGAGAGTGGCATGGACATATATACACTACCAAACGTAAAATAGATGGCTAGTGGGAAGCAGCCGCATCAGCTCGGTGCTTTGTGACCACCTAGAGGGGTGGGATAGGGAGGCTGGGAGGGAGCGAGACACAAGAGGGAAGAGATATGGGAACATATGTATATGTATAACTGATTCACTTTGTTATAAAGCAGAAACACACCATTGTAAAGCAATTATACTCCAATAAAGATGTTTAAAAAGAACTGCAGTTGGTTATGAGAGGAACCAGTGGTGTAAACTAAATCTACTTTAAGTTGTAATTATATTTGGATAGTGCAAAGCATTAATTTTTCTTAATTCTGGAAAAGATATTTTTATTATACCAAAATTGATTTTGGTTTCTTTTTGTCTACTTAATAGCTTTATGAACCAGGGTACAGTTTTCAAAAGGTCTAGTAATGACTTTGTTCTGTTTCATTTCAGACATACCGGCAGATCAGGTTAAATGAATTATTAAAGGAACATTCAAACACAGCTAATATCATTGTTATGTAAGTAATACCTATACAAAGATTTTCTTGGGTATTCATTTTTTGATAATTCAATTAGGATTCATTTCTATTACTAAGTATTTATCTATATAACATCCATAATGACTTTGTAGTTATGAGGAAAAGTACTTATTAAATACACTTTGCTTTAAGCATATGAAGAAATCATTTAAGATAGGAGGAAAGAAAAACAAAAATATTAACCTTAAGCTTGCATGAATCTAAGTACTTCTTTATCATAATAGTTTATTCTGAGATTTTTCCTTTATCCTTTTTCCCACTTTTAAAAAATCCCTTAGCTTTGGAAACACCACAGCATAGCCATCAACATTTGTGGTGTATGAGGGCTGCAAGTTAAAACGTCAATCCCAGGCAGCTTCTTCATAGAAATAACTCCATCAAGTTACGTGGAGGATTAAATTTAAAAATTAGTTCCTATCTCAATTCCCACCAAGTTCCCACACACAAAATTTACATCTAAATGCACTGTCCTCACATTGAACATCGATGCTTATGCTTACTCTGGCTTTTCCTCCACTAAACCAGGTTAGCTAGATCTTTCTTGAACCCAAATTTTCTCAGTCCTGGAGCCTAGGCCTTTATATAGGTAAAGAAGGCTCAGATCTCTGAAACATGCCAAATGATGAAATAAAGTAATACCAAAGGATTGTTAGTTTGATTAACAACAAATATTTAATACACCAGAAAATTTCATTTTGCTGATGATAATTAAGTATCTGTAATAGAAGTCACTAAAACATAGAAATCTAGAGAGAGACACTGTGGAGCAACTGGACATACTATCACTATCTACAAATGGAAATGAGAGTCCAGAGAGAGATAAAAGAAATTGAACATTAATATGTAGAATTAATTATGTTTGAATTTCATTTGTCCATGTATAGTTACCACTATCGAAATTCAAATAGAAGAATTTCTATCTAAAAGAATTCTAAGGGGAAATTTGAGGTTTAACGTTAGATACCAAATGTGTTAGGGTTTATAGAAATATTTATTTGCTATTCTTAAGAAATTTTTGAGAAATATTTTGTTCAAACTTGAAAAAAATGGGAATAATTATATGTGAGTATAGTAGTTACTACACTATATGCAGAATTTCCCTGCCCTCAGAAATATTTTGTAACTATAGTAATTTTTAGTTACTATTACTGTTACTTAATTTATAATTCTTACTACATTTTATTCTTCTCAACTTAAATGCATTGTCTAATTTCCTTTCTTTTTTTTGATACCAGGAGTCTCCCAGTTGCACGAAAAGGTGCTGTGTCTAGTGCTCTCTACATGGCATGGTTAGAAGCTCTATCCAAGGACCTACCACCAATTCTCCTAGTCCGTGGGAATCATCAGAGTGTCCTTACCTTCTATTCTTAAATGTTCTGTCTGCACAGTGGACAGCCCTCCAGACGGTACTTCAGTGCCTAGTGAAGTAACTGCTATCACTGAAATCTTCAATGACACGTTAACATCACAATGGCAAACTGACTTATTTTCACCATTTCATTAATTTGAAAGCACACAGAGAAGTTGCTCCATTGCTATGTGTATGGAGACTTCAGTTTTAGTCAATTCCGTATCTCTATCTTAGTGAATGATGATTCCTTGTTGTTGGACTGAAGCTTGTGACAGTAAAGTTTTCCTTTGCTACTTGAATAGCAATAAAAGTGGGTTATTTTTTGATTGATGAAAGGAGTACAAAAAGCCTTTAGCCTTGAGGTGCCTTCTGAAATTAACCAAATTTCATCACTATATCCTCTTTTATAAATTTGTAGAATGTCAAACTTTGCCTTCAGCTATTTTTATTTCTAGTCTCTTTCACCTTAAAATAAAATGGGCACTGCTTTTCTTTTACCATTGACCAATTAGTGTTGAGTACTGTATGTTCTCTATTACTTTTGTAAAGGTGCCTGTCAGATATTAAAGGTGGGAATTAGGGGAGTTAATGAAAATGCAAGAAAAAAATGGGAACCAAAAAGTGACCCCAAGTTTAGGTTTTCATAAATATGTATAAATGTAGATCTAGGGGGAAAAAGGCCAAATAGACTTTTTTTTTTAAACCTCTAATTGGCTGTTATTTATATCTTATTTGATTACTATTTCTTGAAACCTTAGGGAAGGTTGAAGATTTATCCAGTACTTCTATATATCATGCTGAAAAATCACATATTGTCATTCTTTAGACAAAAACCTTTAAGATCGTTTGTATTTATTAGAAGAAAGATCTGTCCTAATTTAGAGTTTTCCTCAAATCTGAGGAACTTTTACGAAATGCTAAAAGACTTTTCTGGAGGAAAATTAGACAAAACATTGTTGTTTAATAGAATATTTCAATAAACACATGGAATATCACTATATCATCCTTTTTATAAATAATTAAAATATTTAGTGTTTCATTGAATGGTTAAATGGACCACTGGTTTCTCAGTGAAATGTTTTTAGGCTCAATTCATTCAATTGTCAGGCTCATAGTCTTAATTAATATACTCAGGTTTGAACAGATTATTCTGAACATTTAAATTTAATCCATTCTTAATACTTTAAAACTTTTGTGTTAAGAAAAACTGCCAGTTTGTGCTTTTGAAATGTCTGTTTTGACATCATAGTCTACTAGTACCATTTTGACAGTGCATTATGTACTGTTACTAAAAGCTTTATATGCAATTATTAATGTGAAGTTTTTCATTTTTTATTCAAGGAAGGATTTCCTAGAAACATTTCAAGGGATAATATGTCTACATATCTGTACGTGTGTGTGTATATGTATATGCATACACAGATGCATATGTGTATTTATAATGACATGTTGCTGGTTTTTTGCATTTTAAAGTGATCAAGATTCATCAGATTAAATTTTTTTGTTTCAGTAAACATGAGTTCACAGATTGAAAGACAGGTTTCATGGAGAACAAAGGTGATCATTTGAAGGGCATATAACTTCACACAGTTATTCAGTTAGAAAATGGAGAACATTTCATCTAAAGTACTGTTCAGTGTGTTCATTGGTATAAGTTTCACTGGTGCAGAGTTTATGTAGGTTTTCATGAATCTTGATAGAAATCTATAAAATTACTACTGTTGTTCAGTAGTGCAATATTTTTGCTGCATGAGTATGAACTAAGTTAACACCATAAAGGAGATCTGATAATAATTTTAAATTCAGAATGTTAAGAGAATGAGGTAATTGTTTTTCTAACAGTTTTTTCCAATGTTATAACTCATAGCATTGTACCATTTATTGGAGGTTTTGTAGTGTTTGGAGGGAAAGACAGTAGAAATGTCATATTATACAGTAAACAATATGTTTGAACTTTTAAAATGGTTAATAGGGCATAACTGAGTGCTGCTATCTTGAAATGTGCACAGGTACACGTACTTTTTTTTTTTTTTTAAGTTTTTCCCATTCAGGAAAACATCATTGTGATCTATACTGCAGGAACCAGATGTCGTGCATCATACATATGTGTATAAAGTACATAAAATATATCTAAATATGCATAATGGGGGAGGGTAATATTGTCTGTGAAATAATGTTAAGAAGCTTTTCACTTTAAAAAGTAATGCATTACTTTCACTTAACACTAGATACCAGGTCAAAATTTTCAAGGTTGTTGTAGTGCTCTAATAAATTTCAGCAATTTATTCTTAGAGATGCTAGCTAGTGTTGAAGCTCTTCTACTCTATTTTATTTATGCTGAATTTCATTATCTTAATGCCAAAATTTTTAAAGTTCTAATCATTGGTGATAACTTGGAAATAATTATGTAATGGCATATGACATGTCATTATTTCAATAGGTAAAAATTCAGTGGGTTTAGAGAATGGTGGTGTTAAGGTGATTATTAACAGTTAATTAAATCAAATATTTATTTGTTACATTATTTCATTTGTATTTTAGGTTTCCTTTTACATTTTTTTTTATGCTTTCTGACATTACATATTTTTAAAGACTATGGAAAAATAATTTAAAGATTTGAGCTCTGGTGGATGTTTATCTACTAAGTTTGAAAATGTAATATTTTGATAATACTGTACTATAACTGTCACAGAAATGCTTTTCTAATGTTTTACTGTTGAGTATTGCAGTTGCTGCTTTGTACAGAGGTTACTGCAATAAAGGAAGTGAATTCATTAAAACAATTTAATGTCTACTCTTATATTTTATGTTTTATAAATCTATGTCAACTTTGTGATTTAACCACATTTATACAATATATTTCATGGATGTCTGAGTTTCTTAAATGGCTTTTACTTTAATATTCATGCCTTGGAAAAGTTGTTTGAAATTTTTCACTATCCTTAAGCCTTTGGAATAATCACTAGTTATATTGACAGTGAGACTGAGCCATATCAGACGCAGCTCATTTTGATATTTTGTAAATGATTTAACTTTTCTAATTCTGCTTGTCTTTTGGTTAAATCACATGGTTATGAATGAGGAAACTAGAAGATTAAAATGGATTTATAGCCCCTGAGTATAATCTGATTCTTTTCTTCCTAAGATTTTTGGCAAAGCTAATTTACAGTTTTACAAAGCATTTTCACTTTATCATTTGAACATTACAGTAGGTGTGTTATATGTTCAGGATAGCTATTTCTCTCTCTTCTACTATTTAGCTTGGGGCATTGTAGCAAATTCCCAAGGTCATGTCAACAAAGGATGTTGGCCTAGAGCACAGATCTTTCATCTTCAGGGATGTCGCCATTATACATTCACTGCTGCCTGATCCATAACTTAATGGCTGGAATAGATTGGTCATCTCCAAACTACTCATACTTATCTGCCCAGCAAGTATGTGCTCAGGTAATGCAAATTACAGTTACAAGTGCAGATTGGCCACAGGCTACCTAATAGATCTGAAACAAATGTAAGTGTCCATTGTATGATCTTTGCTTTTTGCTTATTCTCCAATAAGCTGCTGTTCGGGCCAGTTTGCTCACTTTGTGTATGTGTATGGGGTGTTTAAGAGAATTCAAAGGCAGCTATGAATGTGGCATTTACCATCAGAGCATCCAGTGGTTTTCAAAACAGGAATGTAATTACATATTTGAGCCAACAGGGTTTTTTTGTTCTTTCACTGGGAATAAAAGATAAATGCTTTGATACACTTCTGTCTTTGTTTATGTATCAACAGGATGTCTGTAGGATCAGAGGAAATAGATGGTAGTTTAACTATTTGAGTAAAGACAGCACAAGTCCTAGGATGCACTCATCAGAAAGTACTTTTTAGCTAGTTCACATAGTAGATATATAAAAGGTATTGGTGGGTTAATCAGTTAGACATTTTTTTGTAGACTACTAAGATACCTGAAGAACTCAGTCTCCTTATAGAGTCTGGAGGCAATGGTTATAGACCTGTTTTACATGTGGCATAGGAGTTTCAGGTAGGCTATTAAATGGTAGCATTAAGAACTTCAGCCCATTTTCTCCCCTTGAAGCTACAACTGAATTTTGTGTTAGACAAGGTTAAGAATTTGAAACTACTGTTTTAGAGGAAAATGTAAAGACTTCTGAATATGTCTCCTCCTGCAGCCTTACTTGTGGCTGCTGTCCTCACAGATCAGGAACTCATTCCCAAAAATTATGGTGTCTTGTTAACACATATCCTTTGTTCCACTATTCTGGGATATGAATGCCAATTAGCAAGATACTCTGCCCACAGCTACAAATGAAATTTACTTGTTTAATCCACAGAATAGGATTAGTGATCCATGGATACTGAATGCAAAAACAGACGTCCCAGACTCGGTACTTGTCAAAATTTCATTAGAATACTGCTAATTAAGCTTTGGGGGTAGAGAATTGTGGACATTTTATTCTGGACGTGTTAACTTAGTCTGAAAAAGGGAAGTAGTTTACAGGATAATTTCATATCCAGCTCATATCTCTAATAACAGAGCAAAAACTTTTAAAAGTAAGGAGGCAGTGTGTTTTTGATTTACATATAGTACACGTAAGGCATATAACAACTACTACTGTAAGATATGATTGCATTTACTGTTAAAATTAAGTCCCAAGTAACCCATTTTTAAAAGGAGGTCATCACAGTTTGAAAAGGAGTGAGCTTTAAGAGTTTATCTGTATGAACAATATAACAGGTTATTTTTATTTCAAGCACACAACATTTTTGCTTAAGCCATGAAAACCCCTTTGAGGTTCCTAGAAGTGTTAACTAGTCAAGACATTTAAAAGATGACAAGAACTGTTTGGGAACTGGGGTGGGGGTAGTAGGATGGAAAGTTACACTCCAAGAAAGGTTCATGGATTGTGAAAGACTGCTTTTATGACTGAAAGTCTTGCATTCATTCTTCCTTCTGGGAAACAGTGAATTGTGAAGAATGGAAGTTAGTTTTTTTGTTGTTTCTTTTTTTTTGTTTTCTGAATTTTAAAATCTGTTGATTTTAATCAGCATCTCCTCTTAGCTACATGGTACTAATCTCAGAGGTATGACCTAACTCTTTCAGGTAGTCTTTCTCTATGGCTGTTCCATCAGTAAAGATAATCCTTTGTTTACTATCCATGCACCTGTGAGTTTAGCATTCTTGATGTAAATTTCACAGTTGGTGTTTTTCAGAAAATTGAAGATAGGGAAGCACAGATGTATTATATATTGAAACACTCACTAGAAGAGTGGTTCTCAAACTTTAGTGCATCAGAATCACCTGGAGAGTTTGTTAAAA